ATATTAAAAAAACAAAAGAAAAAATTAATACCGCTATGATTAAAATGGCTATCAAACATTGGGTGACTATTAAAGATCACCGTAATAACAACGATGACGATTTCGATCACTACCATTCATCTTCATTTCAGTCACACTCTATAGAAGCACTTTGGCGTTGGCCTCATACGCTCCAAAAATGTCTAGCGGGAAAGAGGGTATCGCTCGTGTGTAAACAGACTCAATTCTTAAATTATTGCTTGTCGGATTCTTTAGTGTCATACAACTACAACGACCCGACATCAAGCTTTCACTTAATGTTTAAGATCACCGACAACAAAGATGACGAAAGGAAGAAATTCCATCAAGAAGATTCGCTGGGCAAAATTGGTACCTGTAATTCAAAGACCGATATACCGATCGAAAATTTTCGTGATAAATTATCTTCCTCTGCCGTTATTACAACGAGTAAGAATATATATAAATTCGACAAACTCAAACTTGCAAAATCTCAAAAAGATCGAGAACGCATCCAAAAATATAATGCGTTTTGTAAAATTGCATCACAGCTTAAAAAGATTTCCTCTGAAAAATCTAACGATGATATAAACTCATCTTTATTCGGGAGAGAAAGTGAAATATTATCTCGCATCGAACCAAAGCTACTATCTATATCTAAGAACTAAATAAATTAATCTTTTAAATGAGGGTTAATAATCAATCACCTAATTGATAGATATTTCAGTTATCGTCCTCGACTTATAACCTCGTTAATATCGATCGACAGTGATGAATAGGAGAATAGAAAAAATAGCGCATAATCGTTATACAAGAGATAATCTATGCATTGGTGTTAGTTTAGATTTTGGTCAAAATCAGCAGAATGTTTATTTTGAACAGAAAAAGAAAAAGAAGAAGCAAAAACCTTTTCTAATTGATAAAGACATCATGGTAAAATCGTTAAACGAAACTTCACAGAAACAATTTACAGCTCTTCGTTTGCGAGAAGAGTATCCTCCTTGCAGCATACTCATCTTTTCTATGGGATCGGTAATTATCGTTGGACTGAGGAAATTGGGATTAACTCCTCTAAGTGTTCTCCAGGCGGTGTCTGCTATTGCAGATACGCAAGAGCACCCAATCACCATATCTAATGTAGAGATTGTCAATGTAGTATCTACGTTTAATCTATTTAAGCTTAATTTTCCAAGTCTAAAGGAATTTTTTAGAGAACACAAGATTGCCTTCACACATGTACCTGATTCCTTTCCTGGACTTTTTTTTAAAGTCCTAGTACCGATACGTCATTTAAAGAGAGGCGAAACCATCGGAGGGTATTATACGAGAGCCGCCAGGGAAAGAGAATCTGGAGACACGGAAGCGATGAAAAAAAATTTTAGGGGTAAAACTGTTTTGGTATTTCAAGTGGGAAAGTGTACCATTCTCGGCGCGTGTGGTGGAGACGATATTCATGTCATATTCAAGATGCTCTTTGGTTTTTTTGGTACTTTATAGACAATTTGGTACATTTGTCTGATGAGGAATTTGAAAATGGGAAAAAAATTACCATATACCACCTCTGTCGTGGTATTTAATGACAGATTTCTTTTTAAGAACGGTACCCAACTTAAATCGAATGTGATCTTTGCTGACCTCTTCCCCTCTCTAGCTTCTAAAAAAACATTAGTAGATAAATGTACAAGTCTTTATTCTTCTCCTTCTTCACTAGACGTGGCCACTGATTTCCTCACAGTGATCAGGCAACGTATTAAGACAAACTTGGAGAGAAGATTATAGAGAGTGGTTTCTAAAACTCCTGGTGGTACCACGGCGATCATCATCACCATCATCACCACCACCACTACTATTACAACAACAACAACCACCACCACCACTATCAACTAAAATATTTCTAAGAAAGCACCATCAAAGTGTATTTGAGAAGGACCTCGATAAACTTTGTCGAGAAGAAGAGAGAGAAGAAGAGAAAGAAAGAATAGGATATAAAAATTTGTCGTTGACTATGCAGCAATCCTATGGAAAGCTTAAGCGATTACAAAATCTCACACGAGTCTTATGTAAACTCGAAGAGAGGCTGGCAAAAAGAAACAATACACTCGCGACATCGTATTGGACCAGGTGTCTTTTTGAAGGTTTCGAAGAATATATATTCCGCCGTCGCCAATGCCGCCGCCGCCATTCGTCATTGCTACTGACGACGCCGATGCCATCGTCGCGGTCGCATCTAACGAATGATGCATTCAATAAAATAAGAAAGCTTCGATCGAATCATAAGATGAAGATTCGTCAACTAAACCAGCTCGAAGAGATATACGACCTGGTCAACAGAACGACAAGCGAAGGGAGAAGTGATGAAATTGCAGATTTTCTTGGGATAGATTCGTACATCATATCAGGGTTGCTCAATAAAGATTCACCGATACCAATAAAAAGATCAAGTTTTTAGCAAAGATTACACACATATGACACCCGCACAAATTTTTTTTAATAAGCATTTATATAATAACAATAAAAAATACGGGAATAAAACTAGTGAGATACTCAACGAGAATCGACGGGGTATACTAGACTTTATAATCGGAGAAGAAGAAGAAGACGTAGAACATGATCAATGTAGTGAAAATTTGGTTAGAGGTAATAGTAGTATTGCTACTGCTGTTACTATCGATGACAATAATGATGACGACAACGAAAATAACAATAGTACAAAAACTTATCTCGATATACAAGCTATTGAAAAATTTCTCGAAGACCAAGGACAACACGGAATCATATTCGCCCCTCTTTCAAACTATAGAACTCAACACCACCAGAGCTTACAAACACGACTAATTTTAGAAAATTTAAAGCGACAAAATCAATCTTCATTTTCATCATTAGAACATGAAATGTTGACAGAGAATTATTCTTTTAATAAAAAAGGTGAAAGCAAATGTTGTGAATGTAAGTTTACCACCAATAAACTAAAGAGGCAAACTAGATGTCAACCATACAGCAAAAATATTGTTGTAAAAAGGAGGAGAAAAAATTCCATCAATAAACTAAATGTCGACCATACAGGATAATAATAAATTTTTTATTACTTTTAATTTTGTATTATTGAACTTGAAGGTTAATATGATACTCTTATTACAATTCATAAGAGTAATCAAGTATAATAATAGTTACAGATCATATTGTATGCTATGCGTTCCACATTATATACTATAATACAACTATCTACCATCTTTTTTTTATACCTTAAAATTATAACTAGTCTATTTAAGAGAGATTCTATGGCGGGTGAAGTGAACATGGAGCATATATCGGTCGTCAGTTGCAGGGACGACTCCCGAAGAAATATGAGCATGAGTACAGCCAGATATAAAATGTGGTTACGTTGACTTGAAAATGTTCTTATATTCCTTTAACTGTAGCAAATGAATCGTTGTCATAGGATGATAGAGAGAACACTTTAACACTATCCTCATCGGGTAAAGGCATATAATAATAATAACTGGAGATTAATACCACAATGGTACCCTTACTATGGTAAGAATAATACTTTTACTAATAATAATAATAAAAACAAAGACGGTACTGTTGGATATCGACAATATGCTAGTGGGTGGCAGCAACTGATTAATAATCATCGTACTTATAGAAATTTTAGAAAATATTATAAAGTGAAATATTGGAAAAATACTTTTGATGAACAAAAAGGTATTGAAAGAATGATTGTTTTTTTATATTATAAACCATCATTACAACAACAACAAAGAAAGTCTTTTTTTGAAGAAAAGACAATTGCCAAGATTAATAAATGTGGTGATGGTCATCATCGATATACAGAAGCTCTTCTAGAACTGACGCCATTGTCATTGTTATTGTTACCGCCACCTTTATCGTCTTCTATTTTAACTGTTGCTATTAATAAGATTAGCAGTGAGGGTATGATATCAATAAGAGATCTTACTGACAACCATATTAACAACAAGGAGAAGACGACGACAATGACGACGACTACAACAAGTATCAATATTAGTGGTGGTGGCAATAACGGCGGCTGCAATAGCGATGACGTTGGCGACGATCAAACTACTACTAATATTAATAATAATATAAAAAAAAAGTGATTGTTGCTAGTGATAATGACAATGATATCCACCATATCACTACCGACGAAAAACTGATTGATGTTAACAGCATGGAAAATACAATGATGATGAGTGACCACCACCACCTTCATCATCATCAAACTGCTAGTAATGATGATGACGATGATAACCACCACAACCGGACTATCACAACCGACGAAAAACTGATTGATGTTAAGCATTGAAAAAACAATGATGATCGATATTGACGTTGACCACCGTCAGACTACAGACACTACTACTGTGATTGATACTAGCTATAATGATGATGGTGGCAATGATAAACATCTCAACCAGACGACGACTACTACTACCACCGACATTTCCATGCCAATGGTGATGAGCGATCATCATCATCAAACTGCTAGTAATGATGATGTCCACCACAACCGGACTATCACTACCGACGAAAAACTGATTGATGTTGACAGCATTGAAAAAACAATGATGATCGATATTGACGTTGACCACCGTCAGACTACAGACACTACTACTGTGATTGATACTAGCAATAATGATGATAATGATAAACATCTCAACCAGACGACGACTACTACTACCACCACCGACATTTCCATGCCAATGGTGATGAGCGATCATCATCATCAAACTGCTAGTAATGATGATGACGATGTCCACCACAACCGGACTATCACTACCGACGAAAAACTGATTGATGTTGACAGCATTGAAAAAACAATGATGATCGATATTGACGTTGACCATCGTCAGACTACAGACACTACTGCTGTGATTGATACTAGCAATAATGATGATAATGATGATGTTGGTAATGATAAACATCTCAACCAGACGACGACTATTACTAACACCACCGACGAAAAACTGATTGATGTTAACAATATGGAGAAAACAATAATGATGGACATGAGTGACGTTGACAAAGACCACCATCAGACTACAGATACTACTACTATTAGTGTTATTTCCGTTACCGACGAAAAAGAAAAAGTGAATGATAGCAGCAACAAAGAAAAGTTGACAACAACAAATGTCGATATTGCTGATAGTGGTAATGATGATGATGTTGAACACCACCAGACTGCCACAACTAATAGTACTACTATTACTACCACTATAGATGAAAGAAAAAACGTGCTTGATATCAACAATGAGGAGAAGACGGTGTTGTCTAAGTTGAGGTGCAATAGTGGTAGCGATGATGACTACCACCAGATTATTAGCACTGACGAAAAAGAAAAAGTAAATGATACTACTGAGGAAGAGTTGACGACGACAACAAGAATTAATGTCAACGAAGGTCTTCTTACTCAGAAGAATCTCAATGTTAAGAATCGTGAGACCATGATAGCCTGTACTGGTTTTACCGATGAAATCTTGATGATATCTCGCAAAAAGTTATAAAAAAGGTTAATGATACTCGAGAAGTTAACACGATATTATCTTTTTGCGAGGAGAATGATGCTGATATCAATTTTCCTATAATTTGTAACGATATAATGAAATGCAGTGAATCATCTAATGAAGTTACTAGCACCGTCAATGACTTAAAAGGTAAATTATCATCTCTTCTATAATTTGTAACGATACAATGATAGATCTAATGAAATTACTAATACTAATACTAAACTATTTCCCAAATTTGATATAGGGAATAATGGTATAACAATTATCTTTGCAGAATCGACATCGATAACAGCAACAGTAGTACAAGAAGAGACGGTAAAAATAACAGCAACAACAGTAGCAGACACACCAACAGCAGTAACATCGGAAGTATCAACAATAACATCGACAGCAGTATCAACTTGTCCCAATATGTTATTGGAAAATCATCATCATCAACATGTAGCACTACAGAACTTTCTGTAGCTACACTAACTCGAGATAATGAAAATGTTAGTACTCTTACGATGCATGACACTAATCGTAACACTCTAAACCCAGCAAATATAGCAGAAAGAAATATGCGAGGAAATAAAGAAGATAAATCAAGACCACCTTTACCAAAACCGGATGAGGAAAATGTTGATTCATCAAAAACTGAAGAAAGAAAAAGGAAATGTATGGTATTAGTATCTTCAAATAATTATAATAATGATAAGAAAAGAGGAGAAGAAAGAGTGACAAGATTGTCTATTAAAAGACCAAAGATGAAAAATGTGCATAAAAGACAAAGAAAAATCTAACTAGAATACAAGACATATATACATATACGTATATAAGTGTTATTTATAATATATGATAATATGAATAAATTGATGTGAGCGACTGGGCAAGAAGTATATATATATATTTAATACGTATATATACATATAGTATATACAAAAGTTGGTGAGAGAGAGAAAGAATACATACTCCTTACATGTAATGTGGTTTAAACAAAATGAATAATTATGTGCGATCATGGAATCCGTCTGAGAACTGGAGAATAAAACCTCAAGGATATTCAGTCTCAGTTTTATGATGGTTATTGTTAGTATTATAACAATTATTTGTCTCCATTTTCTTTCTTCTTGTCTGTCTATGTTTACGCGTGTTTAAGTTTTAAAAAATGATATTATGTCCTCACTCATATATAAAAGTATAATTAAAAAACATTAGATAAAATTTTATTATTTTTATTGTTCATACTACTACATACTACAATTTATAATAATCCCCATAGACTCAGTGAATATTCTCATGAGTCCGGTATTCACAATGTTGATGTTGGAGATTTCATCATCATTATCAGAGTCACTAGAAGATGTAGATATGCTAGCCTCTAGATCGTCGAGTTTTTGTATGATATTATTAATCTGTTTAAGAGTCTTTTGTAATGTATAAAGAAGCTTATCATTATCAAGCGTTTTTTTCTTTCTCTTCGTCGTTAATTTTTAAGTGATGTTTAATACGAAAATGTATCTCTATATTTATATATTATATTTTTTTTTAATATTACCTTCCTTTCTTATATTTTTCTAGTCTTGACAACTTAACTTTTTTGTGTTCTCGTTTAAATACTAAAAATCTACAAATCGACCTGATGGCATGTGAGCCGTTNTAAAGACTAGACATTACATTAACTTCATTATATCTATACTTATCTTTGTTATTGGTATCAACGTTGTTCTCGTCTTTTTCTATTATCATTATCATCACAATCAATATCATTACAATCACGAGTATCATGAACAATAGGAACAGCACCAGTATTAGATGTCTTGTTTTTACCTACAGTTACTAATCTTAACACGCCTCCATTTCTTAAAATCTCAATCCAATGTTTTTGGTTGAGAAATATATCTATAAAATCCAAATTAAAATTATCAGCAGTATTTAACGTATGATCTCTTCTTATCATTTTGTTCACATATTTGAAAGGTCTAAAAATATGTTTCGAGTTATAAGGTTAGTCCTTTTTAAATTAAAATCAGCAATACAATCTGTATTATCATCTTTGTTACTAAAACCAATAGATAATAAACCTCCTCTTCGTTTAGTTAAATCAATCAACAGATGCAAACTATCTATAGGTGATAATTCATGATAAACTGTCCCGTTTTTCGATTCTATATTTGGAAGATCTGTACCGGTACTATTAAATTTTATCATTCTCATATGTTTAGCAATAGGTGTAAACAAAGCACAGGGTCCTCCTCCTAAAGGATTCTTTTCTAAAGACCCATTAGTTGTAGATATACCGTCTAGCCAATATCGTCCTGTCGAATAAATCTGAAATTCAGACATCCAAAATCTCAATACATCAACAAACTTTTCCTTATTATTGTTATCAGACAAGTGGTCGATAATAACTCTGATAACCCATTCTTTATTTGCCTCGAAATTGTGATCGGGTTTCATACTAATTATGAGACCAGAGAATATATTTCTCAAAACATATCTTAAATATTTCTTTTTTTCTTTATTGAGAATTTTATTAACAATAGGGTAGCGTGGTGAAAATACACTCGCTGTTATGAATAATCTCATAATTCTTCTGATTTTATACCCTTCCTCCCAAATTTGGTCATTCATCAATGATAGTTTATACATGCTCTCCATTTGATTTACATACTCCTCGTAATAAAAGTTAAACTCGGTTAATTCTTCGTCACTTGCCATCGACCGTATTTCCTTGAACAGTGCCTTTAACTTGGTTGTATATCCTCCTATCTCCTTTATTTCTCTTAATAACAGGAATGGTCGTTTTCTCTTCTCCTTGCTCTTTTCTAATATATATGGATTATTATAATAACCCAGTAGAGATATATCCCTTATACTTTCACATTTCTCTACTTCACTTGAAAGAGATGGTATCCAGTCTAGTACCTCAAGATGGTCAATCTTATCAGCCAGTTCATTAGACAGGGCTAATATAGCGTCCTTTTCTTCATCATGTTTTTTTATTTCGCTTGAAAGTGATGGTATCCAGTCTAGTGCCCCCAGATGGTCATTCTTATCAGTCGCTTCGTTAGACAGAGTTAATATATCATCCTTTTCTTCATCATGATGGGTGTTTGCTTCGTAGGAAATATTTCCTTTTTCAGTATTGTCTTTTCTTTATATAATGTTATTATTTTTTCTAATTTTAATTTTTGCACCATTATTTCATCATGCACCATTGTTTCACCATCCTCTAAGATGGGTAATGGTGTATCTATCTTTTCTTTAAGAAAAGATATTAAAGCATCTAAAAACACATCATCAGTTCTATTCTTCATTTCATATAGTCGTAGTATTCTTTTTACGTTTAAGTTTTGTGTAGCAGCTGCAGTTGTTGTTGTATCATCAACATTATCAACATCATCCTCTTTTGTATTGTTGTATTTTGAAAAGTGAGCCATACATACAGTAAACATTGATACTTGAGAATTATTACAGCCTCTATGTATCAACAGTGGACAGTTGTCAATCTGGACGCAAAATTTTTTTCTTTGCGCATCAACAATAATATGAATAATAGACGAATAAAGTTTAACATCTATATCATTATCAGAGTACAGAGGAATTATATCTCTAAAGCTTGTTATAGAGTTATACGGTATTGTGCCTTCCCTATTCTCAAAATCACCATTTGTAAATGTAATAGTGGATCGAATATAGATACCGTTTTCTTTTTTTTCCACTTCTCCAATTTCCACGTGATCCAATACAAACGTCTCATTGTTTTATCCCATGCAATTCCGAGACTCAGCAAGAGTCGAACACTCGTATTACTCGTTTTTTGGAGTATGGGATAACCCATCGATAAAGTATTATCGAATGATATATACTTACCGCATATTTTTTGGCATAAAATAATACCGTCATCTGAATAACATGTGCAGAAAGTAGATCTAGTTTTACTCAAATGGATACAGAGGTTCTTACATAAAATTTTATTAATCCGATCCATACCATTTCTCATTTTGTTTTCATATTTTTGTTTTTTTTGTAGTTCTTCATCAATAATCTTGACCGTATTCGTATCTGTCTCATTGTTATTCCTGGAATTCGTCTCAACGTCGTTTAAACATTTCTTGACAGACTCAAGATAACTAAATACATTTTTTAATTATATCGTGTTCCATTTTCTATTCAGTCTAGTAAACCATATGGGTTAATGTTGATACACATGAACTTGCTTATTTATAATTTATAGATTGTATATTAATATCCCACATTTTGTATAATTTATTTTCAGACATTTTTATACTTGGAGAACCGTCACACCAAATATGATATATAAAATGAGGGTATACATATTTTTTCATATAAGTGTGTGTAATATGTTTCTCTCAAAACACTACAACGTATCAAGAAACTCAAGATGGAAAACTATAAGAAATCCGAAATTACCAAAGAAGAAGAAGAAAATATCACACCCCCGACAAATAACGGTGATGAAGAATCGACGATGACCTCAGAATCAACAGGCGTCAAATTATCAACATCGATGCCAACAACGACCCTCTCCTCTGAAATGATTGTCAATATTACCAAAGATGGTAATAATGATGCAAAGAAAATTGTCGATGACCAATGTCATGACAATGAATCGAATTCCTGGAGTTGTAGCAAACCTTGGGATAGTGAAGTAGAGGAGGGTGAGATAGAGTGCACCGCATCAAAAGATATGCATGAAAAACATATCAGTGAAAATATACTACAAGAACAAAATAAGGTGAACGCTACTAATTTAGCTGGTGATAGTGATGGTGGTGGTGCTGCTACTACCATTACAACTATTAATGACGGTGATAAAGGTGATGGTGTTGCTACTACTGAAACAACAACAACAGCAGCAGCTGCTGCTGCTGCTGCTGATGCTGATACTACTACAGGATCTCCTACCACAGCTGCTGCAGCTGCTGTTGCAGCTGCAGCTGCTGCTACTGCAGCAGCTATTGCAGCTGCAGCAACAGCTACAACTGCTGATACACAAGTACAGCCAGATGCTGCATTTCAACAAATACCAATGATGCCTTGCATGTTTTCGGTGCCTCCAAATTGTATGTATTGTTTACCATATGTACAATGTATGCAATATAAGAAGAAACAACAACAACAACACACAAACAGCAAACAACCGCTGCTGCCGCCTCCTCCTCCACCACCTTACTACCACCCTCCACCTAACTATTACCATTATTCTCCACCACTTCCGTCTCTATTTAATTATGATGCAGTGCCACCATATCTGAATAAGCAAAGACGTCAGTATTTCCCTCATCAACATCAATATAATTACCATTATTATTACCCGCGACGAAATGATCAGTATCACAGCAAGGATCAAGAAAAAGAACAGCAAGAAAAACGATACCAAGAACATGATTACTACTACCACCATCATAACCCCGATTCATACAATCCCCACCATCTTTATCATACATATGAACAACAACAACAACATTTAGAGATCGGCAAGAGATGGTTGGAGAATTCGTGATATAGTGTGTGTAGTAATGGATAGATGGAGGCGGCAGCAGCGGTTGTTGCTGTTGGTTGTTGTTGTTGTTGTTGTTTCTTCTTATATTGCATACATTGTACATATGGTAAACAATACATACAATTTGGAGGCACCGAAAACATGCAAGGCATCATTGGTATTTGTTGAAATGCAGCATCTGGCTGTACTTGTGTATCAGCAGTTGTAGCTGTTGCTGCAGCTGCAATAGCTGCTGCAGTAGCAGCAGCTGCAGCTGCAACAGCAGCTGCAGCAGCTGGTAGGAGATCCTGTAGTAGTATCAGCATCAGCAGCAGCAGCAGCTGCTGCTGTTGTTGTTTCAGTAGTAGCAACACCATCACCTTTATCACCGTCATTAATAGTTGTAATGGTAGTAGCAGCACCACCACCATCACTATCACCAGCTAAATTAGTAGCGTTCACCTTATTTTGTTCTTGTAGTATATTTTCACTGATATGTTTTTCATGCATATCTTTTGATGCGGTGCACTCTATCTCACCCTCCTCTACTTCACTATCCCAAGGTTTGCTACAACTCCAGGAATTCGATTCATTGTCATGACATTGGTCATCGACAATTTTCTTTGCATCATTATTACCATCTTTGGTAATATTGACAATCATTTCAGAGGAGAGGGTCGTTGTTGGCATCGATGTTGATAATTTGACGCCTGTTGATTCTGAGGTCATCGTCGATTCTTCATCACCGTTATTTGTCGGGGGTGTGATATTTTCTTCTTCTTCTTTGGTAATTTCGGATTTCTTATAGTTTTCCATCTTGAGTTTCTTGATACGTTGTAGTGTTTTGAGAGAAACATATTACACACACTTATATGAAAAAATATGTATTATACCCTCATTTTATATATCATATTTGTGTGACGGTTCTCCAAGTATAAAAATGTCTGAAAATAAATTATACAAAATGTGGGATATTAATATACAATCTATAAATTATAAAATAAGCAAGTTCATGTGTATCAACATTAACCCATATGGTTTACTAGACTGAATAGAAAATGGAACACGATATAATTAAAAAATGTA